AAAAAGAAGAAGCACGTCTTTAAGCTGAGGTGAGCCTTCCTGCCTGCTGCCCCTTACCTGGGCCCTGAACCCTTTGAACCCTCAGGCTGATGGCTTTGGCATGAGTGACCAGCTAGAGGTTCACTGTAGGGGACCAGCCCCAACCAAGCTCATGCTGCTCCTTGAGGATTTTGCGAATTGAAGAGGCTCACGATTCAGACTCTTACCTCTCAGAAGGCACTCAGAGTGTTCTGAATAACAGGCTCGGGGACAGGGGGAGTCTTAGCCAGCCCATTCCGTCCAGGTCATGGCTTCCGACATGACAGGAAAGTCTTTTTTTTTCTCCTAGGCTGAGTAATGGCAGCGAGTGGCTCTTCCATGGCAAAGATGAGGTAAGTGTGGGGTGGCCCAACCCATCTGTGCCTAACAAAGAGGCAGGTGGAAGAGACCTAGGCCTCTGGACCTCAAGGCTCCTGTGGAACAGGCAGTCCCAGGAGCACTCCCATTGCCTTGGGACCCTGGACTTGGCCCTGACGCCCCCATCCTGTAGGAGGAGATGCTGTCCTGGCTGCAAGGTGTGAGCACGGCCATCAACGAGTCCCAGAGCATCCGCGTCAAGACGCAGAGCCTGCCTCTGCCCTCCCTCACTGGCCCGGATGCCAGTCTTGGCAAGAAGGACAAGGAGAAGAGATTCAGTTTCTTCCCCAAAAAGAAATAGCAGCCGGTGGCCCCCGCTGGTGGGGCCAGCCAGGCAGGCRCAGTGGTGCATCAGGGCACACAGGGACCGGCCACCTGAGGCCGTGGGCCCTGACCTCCACAGTGGATGGTCCTCCTCCACCTCCTGCCCACCAGCTCGAGAGTCACCAGGCCGGCCCCTGGGGTCACCAGACCGGCCCCTGGGGCCCCCGCTGCGCTGGAATAGCTGCCTCTGCGCCCTGCCTGGCAGCCCCAATGCCTGCCAACATGCCCTCTGCCTGTGGCACAGACGGCTTGGCTCCAGGTGGCAGGAAACGGTTCCCCGAGGCGCATGCCCTCCTCTCCGCATCCCCATAAAAGCAGAAGGTGGCTGATGGGGCTTGTCCTATGCTGCCCACTCCCACAGCAAGTCGTGCTTGGGGTTACCTCCCATGTGGTCACAGCCAGGAAAGGGGAAGGGAAAGGGAAGGGGGACACTGGCAAAGCCTGACTTGCCCTTAGAGGAATGAGGAGACTTCAGGGGGGCCACAGAGCCCCAGCTCTGGGCAAGGGGCTGCTGGGGGACTGAGGGGACAAGAAGGAACACAGGGCCTCAGGTGCTGCCAGCCACCTCCCCACTGGGCTTTCTCAGAACTGGGTCCCTCCTTAGGGCCAGCAGATACTCTCCTCTCCCCTCCTCTGTGTTGTGGGTCCTGACTGAGGGAGCCTCCTGCTGCCCCTGGCACCCTTTTTTGGTACCGGCAGAGACTGAAGGAGGGAGGACCAGCAGTTCTCAAACCATTCCTCTTTGAAAACCCTAGTTAGAGCTTCGGGCTCAGGGCTCAGACCTGAAGGAGGGACAGACAGGTCCCCACACTGCCTAAGGCTCTGCCTCTCCGGGCTGGGATCCTTCCCACTCCCAATAGCAACCAAGCCAGCAATATCCGCTAGATGCACAGCGGGGAACCAGTGTAGGCCCCCAGATATGGGGTGGATACCCAGCACCTGGTAAAGCATCCCAAAGTCCAGCGCCCACTGTGTCTGCAGCTGGTGTCATCCAAGGCTACTGACTGACCAGACAGAGAGCCGGGTTATCAGAGTGGAGTGACAAATATGGCCGTACCTAGGTATTAACGGCATGTGACACAACTACCGCTGGGCAGCTGGGATAAACACTGGGGCCAGAGAGGGCCTGGCCTTGGGTTCTGAGAGACATATAGATACAGAGATCACCAAACATCTCCCAAACCCACCTCCATACACTAACAGGGGCTCTGCAATCTCTGTCCCCAGGGAGAGCCTTCCCCATGCTCTGGAAGGGCGAAATCACCAGTCCAATGAGGACTTTCCTTCTCTGAAAGCAATACAGCTTCAGCCCAGCATCTTATCTGGGGTTAGATCCTAAAGAGGGGATCAAGCTGGAGGCAGCAGGTGTTCTCTCCCAGGGAGACCAAAAAGGTCCCCAGGGCCCAAAGCTACTTTTTCTATTGCCTTCCCTATGGGAAGGAGCTTTGGCTTTGTGGAAATGAATCAGGTAAGACTCAGGGAAAAGCCACACAGGTAGATATCAGAGTTGGGAGGCCTTCCCAGGAACCTTTAGTACTGACTGGGGCAGGCACAGCTCAGAGAGCACTATGTCCGGGCGAGGCCGACTCCATCAGACAGCATCCACACGGGAGGGAATCAGTTACCCAGTGGAGCCTGCTCTCCCCACATGAGGTCTTCCACCTCTATAGTGAGGGTCTTCATTTGGCCTCAACACATAGGACCCTATGACCCTCTGCTTCTACAGGGAACCTGGCGTGTTCCATTAGTCAGCCTCTGTCTACTGCTGGGGAAGCCAAGGCTAGAAGGTGACCATACTCACCTGGCAGTAAAAAAAGCCTTTGGTGCATTCAAAGGCAGGCCCACAGCTGGGACAGAGAGCAGGCTCCTTGCCAAGGGCAGAAGGTGACAAGTAGCTCGCAACTATTTCCCTGGGGCCAGTAGTGAGCCAATGGATAAAGGTCCACTTTCTCCCCTCCATGTGTGCCCAAGTAGCACCAGAAGTGAGGAATTTCCAGTGAGCAACTCCATGGAGTCAAGAAAGAAAGGGCTCCATAGAAGAGCTAGAATTTCGCCACCCCAGGTCCCCAGGATTGGGCAAGGGCAGCCAGCTGCATGTGATTCACTATCTACCGCCAGCTCCCCACGCATCTTGCCCACGTCAACCAGGTCCCGAGACACTCAATCAACTGGACTGACATTGCAGGTGCCCGAATTTGGGAGACTCTATGCCACTCCAGGACTAAGCTCTCCAGGTGCCCTGGCAAGGTTTCTTTTTTTTCCCTTCTTTTCTCATATTTTCTATTTTGCAGTCTTTCCCTTGACAGTGTTTCCAAACTAGGGTGACACAGCTCCAGTCCACACCAGCATAACAGGCTTCCTCCCCAGGGCGGCTTAGAGGAAGCTCCTTCTGGGCATGTCAGGCGTCCTCCTGCCCACTCTTCCCCTTTGTCCCTGGCCTCAGCTGATTCTGGCTGAGGGAGGAGTGGAGGGTCCTGGGGCTCCCCCCACTCCTAACTTTCACTAAGCACCCAGAACAGGAGGCCTGTGTCGGGCTCGGCTTTCCCCCCTACTCCACCCCTCCGTACTGCCTGTGGGAAGGCAATCAGGTCCTCTAGACTGGTCCTGGATCTCCTTCCTCCCTCAGTGGGAGGGGGCAGAGATCCAGAAGAGGAAGAGACCAGCTGGCCACATGGCTTGGTCCCTTGGTCAAGCAAGCTCAGGGAGGATGCAAGAGAGGCGGTGGCTGCGGAGGAATGTCACTTGTTGGGTACAGAATATGCTATCTGGGGCTGGCCCTGGGGCCGGCTGGGCCTTGTCCTCCACCTGCTCAAATGTGCTTCCACCAACCAGAGGAAACCCATTTACTAGTTTTTCTAATAAATCTATATAATGCTCCACATTTGTCTGTTCCTTATTTGACTAGCCTTGTTTCTCTTTGAACTGGGCCACAGAGAGCCAGCACCATGAAGGGATAGCTAGGCTCTGACTTGAGCCTGGTACCCAGGCCATGGGCGCCACCTGAGACCCTGAGCCAAGCTTCCTTCAACTAGAAGGCCTACTGCAGGGTAAAATCATTTCTAGTCACAGATGAGTCCAGGCCACACTGGACATCTACAGAGGGGGGGCAGTTTCATTTGGTCTGGGTGCATGGAACATAGGCACTGCTGGGTTTCAAAAGGTTCCCAGATGATTCTAATGGGCAGCTGATAAGACCCTCTGCCCTGGCCTTGGCCTATGACCTGAAGAGTTCCATCAGGGAGTCTGAGAAGCAGGAGCTCATCCGTTGTCTTCAATCCACATATGAGGAAAGGGCAAAAGTTGGGGCGATCCAGTTGGCTACTGGCAAGGCTGGGATAAAAGTGTGAGTCACCTGCCTGGTACATTTGTGGCTTCTCAGTGTTGTATCCAGGACTGGCCTGGGAGGAGCCAGCTCTCTTCTCAGTGACTATGGATATGACCACAGAAGATTCCAGGAAGCTGGTAGAACACAGGCTAACTGCCCTGCTTCTGCACAGGAGACTGCCACTCACCACGGGTCTCCCCTTGACCTCAGGAGATTCAGCAAACCCATGTTCAGGTTGAATCCATCCTCTTAGGTCAGACGACTCATGGCCCCGACTCCGCAGGGCTGCGGGAACATTCATCTACCACCTGGGCCCTGCCGCCTCTTCCTGTCCAACCCCAGCCAGAACCAACTGGGCAAAATGAGATTGGTCCTCCAAGGAGAAAGGGCAGAAATCCCCATGAGCAAGAGGGAGGCATTCCTAGCCCTTCTGAATCCAGGCTTTCTTAATGCAATGAAAACAGAGGATCCATCCTGGCAAAATACACGTGCACTCCTCACCCAACACTGGAAGCCATTTGAGGACATGCCCAGAGCCCAAGCTAGGAACCCTTGCCTTCTGGGATGCCTCCTGGGACTGGAGAGGGAAAGATGAGGTATTTGCACCAGATATTGGTACCTTCTTATTAGAAAATGTCCCATTTGCCCCGGTCACTCCTCCCTCCCTGCTTGTAGCACTACTTTGGCCCTTGAGGAAGAGAGCTAAAGGCTGGCATGTGAGGCCCTCTGCCCCAGACAGGACGCCAGGCCGTGGGTAGACAGAGAAGCAGAAGTAGCAGAGAACAAGCTCCTTCCTGTGCATCCTGCTGTCCCTGCCTGCCCCATGAGCATCCTGGTGCCTTGATGAGTGCAGAGGGAACCCCCTGTGCTCTGCCTATTCTAAGAAATCCTCAGCCACAGCAACTCTCCCCACCCCCTCCAGGCGCAGTAAGAAGGCACACACAGGTCGGTGGGTCAGCAGTGGTTATTGCACCATTGGCACAGAGTGAAATGTGTGTACATTAGCGACAACCACAGGGACAGCAAGACAACCCTCAAAAGTACCTGAACTAAGTCGGTTACATTCTTCACAGGAGGGGAATAAACAAGATGCCTACTCGCTCGCACGCACATACCACAGGATGGAAAGCAATAAATTATTGGCCTCATTCCTGAGTCCTAAGAAAAGGCACAGTTAAAGAGCAAAGCCTGCCCAGGTCTCCCCCCGAGGGTCCTCGGCCTGGCAATGGCCAGCCCAGGGCCTGAGCAGTGCTTGCTCTCCCTGGGAAGAAGTGAGCTTAAATATTTGGCTTCCAACCAGAGAGATATTTACAAGGGAAGTGGGAAGTGCGACTCATCTGGGCTTGAGGAAAGGCGTCTGGAGCCCCAGGAGACCACCAGCACACAGAGCAGGCTGCAGGCAAGGCCACGCTGGGTCGCTCTTCTAGGAGAGCAAGGGCAGCCTTCACGAGGGCCCTGGGCAAGGGGCCCATGTAAGCCCAGATTCGGGGGGAGGTATGCCACACCGACATGGCTCCTGCCCCTGACCAGCAGTCAGAGTCAACCTACAGAGTTCAAGGCCTGGAATTTCTCTCTCAGGTTTCTCACTCTGCTCTGCTTGCTTGGGTCTGCTGGATCCCTGGGACCATCTTCCTTCGGCTGATACTCTACAGAGTCTGGGAAACGTTGGCCTTGTGCCACCACGGCTGCCGGTGAGCTTGGTCCCTGCCCATTGCCCACCTCATCCAGCCCTGCAGTGGGGCTGGGAAGGGGTCCCTTCTCCATGACAATCACTCGCCGGTTGTTCTCCAGGGTGACATCTGCGGTGACATACAGGGCTTCACCTCCATTCAGCCGGCTTTGAGGCGGCATCCTAGGAGGTGGGGACTGGGTAGCTCCCTGGCTCCTCTTGGTGTTCAGGCTGCAACAGCGGCCCACTCTGCCAGAGAGAGGGGGCTCCACCATATTCTCAGGCGCAGAGTGGCTCCGGTTGACGGGTGGGCCACGAGGGCGACGGCGGCTTCCCTCGGCCTGGACAGCCTCATCGTGGGAGGCATACTTGGAGCAGAGTTCTCGGACATCGGGCCAGTTGAAAGTCTCAGTGTCAAAGGGGCTGAGGGGACTCCGAGTGCAGGGCCGGCACCCAGGTGAGGTGGTCCTTGGGCTGGCAGCAGAAGGGCTGAAGGAGAAACGGCGTGGGGACGTCTCTCTAGCAGAGGAGGGCTTGGGGGGGCTGTGCTCTTGGGCCACCAGCTGCTCGTACGTGAAGAGGGAAAGCAAGGGCCTTCTCTTGCCTGTGAGGAGAGAGCGAGCCATGAGTGGCTGTGAGAGGAGGGGCCCCAAGGGGGGGCTCCCAAGAGCCCTCAGCTCACTTCCCAGGTGAGGCTGCTTCCTGGGGCTTGGTACAAAAGAAGAGAAATTCCATTAACCGCCCCTTTATCACAGGGCAACCGGAAGAGGAGAAAAGCAGTGGGGGGAAGGAGCCAGGAGTCAAAGGAAGAAATGAGAGCTCTGCTCTCATCCTGGTAAGGGAGGGGCCCCTGACCATGTTCCTCCCTCTGCTCCACACAGAGGGCTCACCCAGAGGAGCAGGCTTAGCCTCAGAGCACCAGACCAGAGGCTAGGACTCACCACACATCAGTAGAGCAGGGAGTCCAGCCCTACTTTTTTGTTTTTTGAGTTTTTTTTTTCAGTGGGGGGTGGATTACCAGGGACTCAGGGGCACTCAACCATTGAGCCACATTCCCAACCCTATTTTGTATTTTATTTAGTGATAAGGTCTCACTGAGTTGCTTAGGGCCTCACTAAGTTGCTGAGGCTGGCTTTGAACTCTCGATCCTCCTGCCTCAGCCTCCCGAGTGGCTGGGATTACAGACATGCGCCACCGTGCCTGGCCCCAGTCCTCTCTTTGGTATGGTCTCTTTAGAAGTTACTTTCTCCAAGTTCCCAATTGACTTTTCCACCCCTGGACCATCACCCCTATCATACCTTTGACACCTGCTAGGTCTCCAGGCTCCTCCTGTGGGCAGGGAACGGTGGGGCTCTTCCCGTCCCTCTCAGGAGCTGCCTTTTCCCACTGCAGTGGCGGCCTGGCCGTCATTGACTTGTTCTTGATGCGGAGGCTGTACTGGCGGGCCAGCTGGTAGACCTTGTTCTTGACACGCTCACTCATGTGGCTGTCCATCACATGAGAGAGCTGCATGATGCGGGGATGCAGTGGGGTGACCAGCTCCCCCTGGGCACCGCTGCTCAGCTCCTTCACCAGTTCTTTCAGCTCCCGAGCCAGGTGGGCCGGGCTGGGCCGTTCCGTGGGGGAGGCGCTTTCTGGTGAGGCGGTAGCTGACTCCTCTGTGATGGCCCCCAGCTCATGCTCCTCCAAAATGAAGAGTGGCTCTTGCAGGTCAAAGCCATTGGCCTGGCCCTGGCCTTGCTCTGTCCGGGGGCTCCCCTCAGCAGACTCCATTCTCTCCCACATTTTTACAATTTCAGAAGATGGACGGAACTCAGCATCCGTGATAGGAGCCGAGTCCCCTGTTGCCACCTGGCTGGGTCCTGGGAGATCAAACAGGGCCCAGGAGGCCGGTCGGGAGCCCCCCTGTCTCTTGTACTCTACTGGAGCTGCAGGCTTTGGGTCTGGCCTGGGAAGGTTGTTGAACCTGGAGACGGAGTTTCTCACTAATCCTTTGGGGATGTAGGAGAGACTCTCCCGGCGCCGGACGCTGAAGCCCGCATCATGGTGCTCTGCATTTTCATAGTAGCTCTTGATTTTGTCCAGCAGTAACCTGTCTCGGGTAGAGAGTGCCGATTCCTTCTTCTTGCAGGAAGACCTGTCAGGCTCCACAGGGCTGCCTGCATTTGGGGGTTCTGTCCCATTGACAGAAGGGCCACTCTCTGAGGCCACCCCTGTGCTGATGTCCATTTCTGGAGTGGGCTGGTTGCTGAGGGAGTCCGTGGCGCTGCCCCACCGGGCCAGGCCCTTCTCACTGCCCTCTAAGCTGAGCACGCTACTGCTCCGGCTGACCAGCCGAGGTGTCCCAAAGCCACTGGACTTGCCATCCTCCAGTGCCAGGCTGCTCCGCCGAGAGAAGCTGCTGACAAAACGCTCAGCAATGACACTGGCCTGGTCTAGCACAGAGGGTGGCAGGAGACTCTCTGGCTCCTGGACTGTCCCCATTTCCTCCTCCTCTTCTTCACTGCTCAGGGCCTTAAGGTCCTCGTTGCTGTCGGCCACCACTAAGTCCACCATGTCACCTGGGTGGTCTATCTCCAGCAGCCCCTGGTGAGCATCAAGCTGTGTTTCCAGGACCTCTGGAGACTCTGTGTCTGAAGGCATGTCCTCGGTGCTGGGACCTTCCACAGCAGCAAAGACCTCCTGTTCAGGCCCAAGCTCAGGGTCTGGCTCAACCTGAGACACAGGAGAGAGAGCTCACATGAATACAAAGCCTCCCTCATGACACTGGGAGACACGAGGATGGCATGGTCTGCTCAGAGCCTGTAGGGTAGGACTGGAGACAGGATGAGTGTGACAGGGCCTCACAGAAAGGAAAATGAGGATGTTGGTTTGTTTTGTTTTGTTCTGTTGGTACTGGGGATCTAACCCAGGGATGCCTTCCGACAGAGCACCCCCAGCCCATTTGTTTTTTAAGACAAGGTCTCACTAAGTTGCCAAGGCCAGCCTCGACTTGTGATCCTGTCTCAGGCTCCTGAGCTGCTGGGATTACAAGTGCGCACCACCACGCCCAGCAATGATGGTGTTTTTAATCACCCTGCAGCTAGGGTGCTGGGCTCATGTCCTCACACTAAGAAAATCATGAGGAATGGGGAAGGGCAGGGACACCTCTCAGTGGCAGCCTGCCTGTGAACTATAGGCACAAGGTGGAGATTTAACACTGGGCCAAGCACTGCCCCTGACTCCCAGGGGCTGGCTCTCACTGAGCCATAGCACTAGGAATCCCGGGTCTGAAGGTAAGGCTCCTACCCAAGCTCTTAAGGCACCAGACATAGGTTGGGTGAGTGACATTCCAACTTCCCTGAGGGACCAAGGCCTCTGTGGGATGTCAGGAAGGAGGGCAACACAACCATGTGCCAAAACCCTGTTAGACCGTGAGGACAGGGAATTGGCTCCTACCAGGCCCAGTACCTGTGGGCCTAGCATAAATGCATATGCCAGGACTGGGGTTGGAGCTCAGTGGCAGAGCACTTGCCTCGCAACTGTGAGGCACGGGTTCAATCCTCAGCACCACATACAAATAAACAAATAGAGGTCCATCAACAACTACAAAAAAAATCTTAAATGCATTTCCCAATAGATGGACATGGAAAGAAGCAAATTTGAGAATTCCCTCTTGACCACCACCTAAAGTATGGCTAGTCCAAACTGAGAATATATTTCAAAGGCTTTTTATATATATATATATATATATATATATTTATAAAAGGATAAAATGCATCCATAACTTTTTATATTGATTACATGTTGAAATGATAATATTTTGGACCTACTGGGTTATATAAAATATAGTGCTAAAATTAATTTCGCGTTTCTTTTTAACATGGCTACTAGAAAACTAACATTACATGTGGGACTTACATCCTATTATTATTGCACAGTGCCACTTTCTATGGTCTGGATGATAGTGTCATCCTAAAACTGATGTGTGAGACCCTAACACCCAGTGTGACAGCATTAACCAACTGTGCCTTTTGGAGGAGATTAAGTCGTTGGTGGGGGCTCCTCCTTCATGAATGGAATTAGTGCCCTTAGAAAAGAAGCTTGAGGGAGTTTCCTGGCCCCTTCTACCGTGAGAGGACACAGCGAGAAGAGGACATCTGTGAAGCAGAAAGCGGTCCTTCACTAGACACGGAATCTGCTGGTCCCTTGATCTTTTTATTATTATTCCTTGCATACTGGGGATTGGACCCAGGGGTGGTCTACCACTGAGCTACATCCCCAATCCTTTTTATTTTTCAAGACAGGGTCTTGTTAAGTTGCTGAGGCTGGTCTTGAACTTGCAATTCTCCTGCCTCAGCCTCCCAAGTCACTAGGATTATAGGCATGTACCATTGCACCCAGCAATTTCTGTTGTTTTATAAGCTCCCAATCTAAGTATAGCAACCCAAACAAACAAGGACACCATGGTCTATTCCTATCCAGTGTCATCCAGCTTTTTAGTCTCTCCTGGCTAGGGAGGACAACCTGGGGTCTAGCCTAGCTTGTGACCATTTCCCTATAACTTTGGAAGTCAGCTGGACTTGCCATCCCAAGGAGGTGGTGAAGGTGATGGAGGAGGAGGAGGAGCAGCAGCAGCAGCAGCAAAGGAGTCAGCTCCATACAACCCACAGTCAGCATGAGGTAGGAGAAGAGGAAGGTGGGCCTCTGAGCCAGAGATCCAGATCCACTCTCCGCTCTACCCAGCTGCAKCCCACCACTTAACCGCTCAGAGCCTCTTCTCCTTCTAGAGCTATTGCAGGGAAAAGAAGGGAGAGACAAAACAAAGCACAGGAGGCGTCCAGTAGATGTCAATACCCTATTCCTTTGTCCAGGTGGCTGGAGGAGTGATTTAAATGTCTGGCACGCTGGCAGGGTCAGAGCCTTCTGCTGTATACAAGGTGGCCTAGCTTAGAGGACCTGAAGTCCTGGTTCACTTCCATTAGCTGTGTCCCTTGGCATGCGGCTGTATCTGTCTCAAGGAAGGGTCAACTTTTTTTATAATTTATGGAAGGGGCTATCTATACACCAAACCATATACCCTAGACTGGACAGGTCTCCTGAAGGGGCAAGAGTTCCGGGTGGAGATGGGGGGACAAAGCCCTATTTCCAAGGGCACAGTGGGACAGTCCCTGCCTTAAAGACCTGCTTGCAGACCAGGAGATTGGGGCTCCAGGCACCCCCACATTATCTCCATCCCATTTGCTGGCCACTCACCTCTGGCAGAGAAGAGATAGACTCGAAGCTCAGATGCTTCTCAGCACTGGTTGGAGAATGGTTGCTGGGCCTTCTGCAGCTTTTGGGGCCTTCAGATTCCCTGTGTCCCTTCCCCTGAAGCAAGAAGAGGTCAGTCATCAACTCCAGGAAAACTGGGAGCTGGTCCCTTCTGCATCCCAACATGGACAGCATGTCCCATACCCAAGTAGGTTGGGCTGCCCTAAGCTAGCCCCGGACCCGAGACATTCCAGAGCACCTGACCCACAAGGCCTGGGGCCGCAGAGAGCCTTGCCAGGTATGAGGCTTTGGAAAAGCCCAGCCACTTTTCCTTCCAGTCCAAGTGGCCTTGACCTTTTAGCCCTGCAGTGTGCTGGCTTCTCCTCCCCCACCCCACCCCCACCCCATTAGTCCTACTCAGTGGGTTAGTGCCCAGTCCTGGAACAGCACATGCCAGGGACTCACCGGGGCATGACAATGAGTGAGGAGGTTAAGAAGTGCTTATAGGAGTGAAGAAACAGGGCAGGGTGGGGAGGGGACAGGAGGGGACTCTCAGATGGGCATGCATGAGCCAGGGAACATGCAAGGAAGAGGGGAGATCAAAGAGACACCTCACCATAGCACCCCGGGAGAAAAGTAAAGCGTTGGCTCGATAGTGCCAGCAGTGGAGGGCGGCCAGCAGGGAGCTGGCAAAGTCAGCTACCTGCTCTGCCACTGCCAGACTCTCCTCCTCCTCCTCCTCCTCCTCCTCCTCCTCCGAGCCTGGGGGCTCCGGCCTGGCCCCCTTCTCGCTGCCTTCATGCCCTTCCAGGTCCTCCAGAGAGACCGGAAAGGCCTGCTCCTCCTCCTCCTCCTCCTCCACCACCTCCTCCTCCTCCTCCTCCTCTTCCTCCTGCTCCTCTTGGGCAGCCCCTTCAGCCTGTGGCTGCAGGCCCCGTGTATGGAGGGGCTGCCCAAAGTCCAGGAGGGCACCAGCACTGCCTGCATGCTGTTCAGAGCACAAGAGCCCTCGTGACCAGCCTTGTGGGTAACCTCCTCCCCTCCCACAGGCAAACAGGGGCGGGGAGTGGGGGCTTCACACAGACAACCATCCATGCCCAGCCTCGGCCTCCACGGGATTCCATTGAGGAGGGGGGCATCTCATGGTGGGGAGGCTTGGATCAAGTTGGGAACACAGGCCCTGAAGAAGCCTGACTGCCTCAGAGAGGGGAAATGAGAAAGGCTCTAGGTGGGAAGGATGCCACTCCAGGAGAGGGGACAAAGGGTCCCCTGGGGCAAGGACCAGCTTATTCATCCCTGTGACCCTGTGCCAGAGCCTGGCACCCAGTAAGTGTTGATAGGTATATGGTGAATGAACGAAGACAGTAAGTAGCGGGGTGGGCCGACCTGGGCCATCCCCCCCACCCTCGGTCCTGCCAGCCCCTCTTCCCGGGCCTCTGCACCCACTGGCCTTACCTTCATTCCTGCTCCTCTGGCTGCTGACACCACCATCAGGTCCCCAGCACATGGGGAGGGGAAAAGACCAATAAGCAGGAGAAAGGGCCTCTTTAGAGAGGCCAGAGACCCCAGGGAAGCCTCACTGAGGGCTCTGGCTCCAAAGACCCTTCACCCTGGGCTTTCAAAGGAATGGCTAACAGATGATCAGGAGCACAGGTCTGTGCCTGCTGCTCGGCTCTTATTGTTATGGAGGAAAGGGTATAAGGCATGCAAGTTGGGGGACAGCTCAATCCCCTCTTCAGGTGACATGAGGAATAGAGATTGAGTTCCCTCAACCTGTTCTCCACAACCCCCCACCTGCTTCGCCCTCGCACCCCACCCAACGCTCCCTGCAAATCCCATCCACCCCCTCACATACTCACCTTTCTCGTTTAGTTGCCTGAGCAGGTGTCTGGTCGGCTCTGAGGAACACAAATGGGCAGAGTCAGCACAGGCCAAGAAATAGCGACACCTGGCCTGCATCCCACGCTCCCAGCACCGCAGGCCCATCACMAGCTCAAAGTCCCTTTGGCTCACCTCCAGCAACCCTACGGCCCCAGGGAGGCTCCCTCCACACTGTCACCAAGCCTCCTCACACCTTGCCAACAGGGAGGCAGGGCCTGGGCCACTCCTATCCCGCTGCAGAGCCCCACAGTGCAGCATGTTACCCCAGTCACTAGGATAGAACACCCATGGCCTTTAGTTCTAGAGCCACAGAGACAGGATGGGCTCCATGCTGCCCCTTCCGACTACCCAGCCATGTCTCCCTCTTCCTCTCTTGCAAAGACCTCGTCAGCACACTAGCTACAACCCCATCGCACCCTAGCTGGAAAACAGAGGTCGCACCCGACTTCCTATGGCCCCGAAAGCCTAGCATCGCACAGCCTCGTTGCCTGTTGGGGAGTGTCGCCCAGCTGGATAAGGGGTGACCAGGCTCTGGGGACAGGACACAAAACATATCCATTAGACTGGTGGTGCCATGACCTCCTACCCCAGCCTTTCTGGGGGCAGACCTGGGGGATAGGAAGACCTTATCTCAAGAGGTCCCTCTATGGAACCCCTAGCCTATCCCCATAGTTGCCCAGCTGGAGTTAAACAGGAGGCTTAGGGCCGGTCACGGTTTTCTATACACTTGGAGCCAAGTTCTCTCAGCTGACCCTTGTCAGATGGGCAGACTGAAGAACTTCTTTTCTCCTGAGATACACACATATGTACGCGCTCTAACAGCATCGATATAAGTAAGCACCTCATTGCTTCTGAAGTGAGAAATAGAATATACTTCATCCTTTCATTTTAAAAGTTGTAATCAAGAATACTTAACAGGGGCTGAAGGTGTAGCTCAGTGGCAAAGCACTTGCTGAGCATATGTGAGCCCTTGGGTTTGATTCCCAAAACCATCAAAAGAAAGAATTTTTTTTAAAAAAACAGCTTAAGATGTAACCATAGACCTTACTTATCCTATAGTGCACCTGTGTGCCCAATTCAGTTCTCTGGAAAGGAGAGAGTAGAAAAAACTCCTGGGGAAGGCAGAGTAGTTGGCTAAGCCCAGGTACTAGGTCGTTGCAGGTGGCCTGAGACCCCCCTCTTAGCAGCTCCCTAGTCTGTTTTTATCCACAGTTTCCATAAGTTCCTTCCACTGATTTCTAACCCAGAGAAGGAGGGAAAAGGGATACTAGAGACAGACATTCTCGGACTAAGGAGACTTTTCCTTAAAAACCCTTTTCAAAGTGCTGCATCTCGAATGCAGGCTATCTCTATGGCAACCCACAGCCCCTACCCCAGGGCTTCTGGAGCATCTGGCAGCTTCTTCCCCACCAGTGACGCTGCACCAGCTCCAGAAAATGAACAGTTCAAGCACGGCCAGCACCCTCTGCCCTAAAGTCTCAAGAGTATCAAACGTTTCAGGAAGATGTCTGTTTTCTTAAAGTTAAAAATAAAACTCATAAACAAGTGAACAAATTGTTAAAACCCAACTCTTGTAGTATTTATTTATTTATAGGTTAAAATCTCAGCCACGTGAGGGGCTGGGGATGTGGCTCAGAGGTAGAGCACCTGCCTAGCACGGCAAGACCCTGGGTTCAATCCTCAGTACCATATAACGATAAATAAAATAAAGGTATTGTGTCCAACTACAACTAAAAAAAAAAAAAAAAAAAATCCCAGCCACGTGGAAATTCTGGCTGTATAAAATGGCTCATTTACTGACTGCCTTGGTGATAGCTTGGTTGAGATGTAATTTTTATACCACACAATGCATTTAGAGTGTACGAGTTGACGGTTTTAAGTATATTACAGAGTTGTGCATGGGAGGGAGAGTTTTGATGCTGACATGATGACAGACAGTACTACGGTTACCATGGCTACTATTATCACTTAAAAGCTTCCATGTTCCAAGAACTTCTAATGTTAAGCTAAGGCAAGTTAAGTGGGAACATCAGAGGAAAGGGAACAAAATAAGCCTAAGACCAATAAAGCAACACCCCCAATTTGGAGCTTTTAACCATAAAATTTTTATAACCATTTCAAGTTTGCCCAGGGTTCAAGATCTACCTGAAGTAATACCAAACAATACAAAAACAGGAAAGCTTTCCAGGGACCACCTGGCTTCCCTACTAGAAGGCCAAAGCCCACTCGTCAATCCACATGGGTGTTCAGGGCAACCCATGGGTCAGTCACTCAACCCAATGCAGAGCTGGGGTTATAGCCCAGTGGTAGAGCAATTGCCTAGCAAGTGTGAGCTAGATGAATAAAAGTTCATCCACAACTAAAGATATTTTTAAAAGAAACAAACAAACAAACAAAAACAACAATGCCATTGTGGATCCAAACCAAGACACTGCTCTTAGTCACTCCACAATCTTTCTCTCAGGGCAACTATGAGATGGTTCTCAATCCCCATCCCCAACCCAAATCTGTCCCCAGCCTTTAGACCGAAGGGCAGAGTAAAACAGACCAGAAAACACACATGTGCATCAGCATCACTGCAGAGCTAAGAATAAAAGCAAGGTTTTCTCCTTCTARATAGACGATTCCAGCAATGGAAGAAGGCCCAGGGGAGGAAAATGGAACCATTTCCTGAGACCCAAAGTAAATATTTCCTGTCTGGATTTGGTGCCACTTGGTCTAATTCATTTTCCTCATGTCCTGCTTCTGCTCTGCCATTCCAGAACTAGGCTGGGGATCAYGCAATGATGTCCTAGTGTTCCTCCCACTGGCTCAGTGTGCTGAGTGGAAAGGAGGGAGGTTGGGATGGAAGGGAGCTAAGAAGGGGCTGAGGCCTGAATGAACAAGTATTCCTAGGTCCTTAAAGGGGGCTGCCCAAGCTGGTGGGCAAGAAGAGCCCAGAGGTACCCGGAGGAGGGCAATAAGAGAACAGGGAAAAAATACTCCATGGATGGCCTGCCGCCCTCGCCCTAGTTTTTGGAGAGATGAAAACATATTGCCACAGATGACTCCCTGCCTGGTCCAGGGTCCAAAAAAAGGTCTCCTGCCCACACAAACCTTCCCTTACCAGATTGCCGGCGCCCCTGGCGCACATGGGTGGACACCTCATCCTGAGAGGACCAAGCCTTCTTCAGCCGCTCTGGACTACAGCGGTACCGATGGGGATCTGCAACCAGAAGAAAGACAATCAGGTTTTGGATTCCAAGACCCAGCCCTTACCCAGCCACACCTCTGCTACCCAACCCCAGATCCAGGGCCCAGATGCCTCCAGAGCACCCTCCATCTTCTTCCATCTGGGGTCTTCAGGCCGAGAATCCTGCTCCTCAGCAGGACGGCATCCCTAATTATGTAGAYGACCTTCAACCCTTGACAGAGGAGCCCCTCGCCCTCCCTGCTCCTGGAATAAAATCAGGCAAAGCCTGCCCAGGATGCAGCCTGACCTAACAGTGTATAATTAGGAACAAAACAGGCAAAAAAGGGTCACTCACAATAGGAATCCATTTCCAAGATGGCTTCCTTGGCCTAGAAAGGAAGAAAACCCACCTAGTTACTATCTTGCTGTGTGCTATACCTCTCTCACCCACTAGGACACCCCACAGGGCCACAACAAGGCCTGCGTACCTGCTACACCAATGCCCACTGTCCACTGGAACCATTATCTAGAGGGTGGGGCCCCAGCAGATCCTCTGGATCTGGCCCCGAGGGACACACACTCTCCATGCCCCACCAGATGCACTCTGGGAACTGACCTTCTGGGGAATGGTGGCATGGTGGTTCTCCAGGATGAGCCTCTTGATGTGATGAGTCCAGCTCCGTTTCTCCTCCACTGTCTTGGCCTGAGAGGACCCGAGGGAAAGGGACCCCGGGGTTATTAGTACAGGCTGAAGCTGCTGGGCACAGACAGCACTTCTGCCTGAGGGAAAGGTGGGAGGAAGGACTGTGCTGGGCTCTTGGTGAGGTTGCCTTGACTCCTCACCACGACCCCAGGGTGTCTGCAATGACCCCTTTACAGATAGAGACACTGGGTCTTAGGGCAGCGGGGTGAGCCAAAGAGCCAGGAATCCGATGCACAGGTGCTCGCCAATCTTGGTCCCCACCCCTGCACCCTGGCCACCCCTCACCTGGATGCTGTACTGTTGCTTGCTGTGCTTATAGTGGGTGACAGTGAAGCACAGGGAATCTTTGGTGCTCTCGATCAGCATCAGGGAGGAGCACTGGGGAGAGAGGGAAGAGGGAGTCAGAGGGAGGAAGTGGGGACCAGCCATTGAGACAGTCTCACTAGGCTGGTGCTGGAGCCTGGTGAAGCAGACAAGAAGCAGAAGAGACAGGACCCTTTGGGAAGGGAGAAGATAGCAGAGGCGCTGGGGTGGCCTAGTTACCGGGATGTGACCTTTGTAGACAAAATGATCGCCCCGTTTCTTGGTGATGAACAGTGTTTTGTCAAAGAGGAAGAAAGTCCTCTCGTTGCGCACACGGTGCACACGGAACGTGCCCTCCAGGACAAGCTCCCCGTAGATGGTCAGGTCTGGCCCCTTCCAGTTGATGAGCAGTGACTGAATTTCCTACAGCAGAAAGACCCCAACCACCAGGGTCAGGCTTCACAGGCCCCAGAAGGCTCTTCAGACATCATCCCTCAGCTCATCTCAGCAGGGCAGTGACATTCCCTGACCCCAGCCTGGCCCATCCACCCAGGCATCTCCACCCACCTCCCAGACCCAGAGCACCTGGAGGCGAACGGCATGCTCGTGCCTCCTCTTCATGTCATTGATGTACCAGGCCACACAGGTCATGGTGTCAATGGCATCTTCCACCACCTCAAAGCCATCCTCTTCTTCATCAAAATGTTTGGCAATTTCCTGCACAGGAGAAAGGGGTTTGGACAAGGTTGACTCAAAGGCCCTGCCCCTCCCTGAGACTCCATGTCCAGGGAAGGACACCTGGGCTACCTGGAGCAGCAGGTGGTACTTGAGGATGCGCTGGACTGGCTTCAGGAGGTAGGAGCCCAAGGGCAGCGAGTGCTGTAGCAGCTCCTGCCGGTCCCGAAAGAACTTGGCCTGCTGCTTGTCCCGCATACATTCCGTCAGGGCAGCCACGGAGCTGGGAGTAGGGAGAAGGAGTGTCACTGCTGGGGGGAAGGCCTGGTGAGGAGGAAGGGACTCCAAACTCACCCCATGGCTCGGCATCCCATCCCACCCCAATTACTCACTTGGGATAGTTGTTGCAATACTGGGTGTAGATATCAAACTCTTGGCTCTAGGAGAGATCAAAAAATAGTAATTTCAGGAAGTTTCTAATTTTGACTATAAACCATGTGGGACCCCTGGCCCCTAAGTGCCCTCTGTCTCCACTTCCCCTGAGTGCCTGCAGAGACACCTTGGTATTCATTTCTCTAGGGCATCCCATCCACCGGGCAGACCCTGGGCACAGGGCACCCGGCCCTTACCCTGGAGAGGGATCCCCAGGGCTCAGGTATCTTCATGTATGGGGCTTTCCTTTCCCTTTAAGCTCCTTGCAAGGTGGAACAAGAACCCGGCCCTTCTTACCCTTTCCACAAAGCAGCTGGCCACAGCCACAGGGTCACTATTGCAGCTGTCCAGGTCTCTGAGTAGCTGGCTGGGTGAGGGGAGAGCAGATCAGAGGCCAAACTCTGCAGCCTCCCCTGCAGCAATGTGCCCTCTGCCCCACCTCCTGAGACCCAGACTCACAGCCGGCTCTGCTGACATGCTAAGAGCTAGGGCTTCCACCCTCTGGTGAGCCCTGCACCAGAAAGTATCCAGCACACCACAAATACAGGGAGCCCACATGCTCAGCAAGCAGGAAAGGAAGAGGGGACACTACTACCCACCTTAGGAAAGGGACACAGTTCCTCTGTGGGCAGAAGGAGTCAAATACACAAAAGCAGAGATTAAAGGGGGAAGGAAAGAGGAGACTAGTAAAGAAGGCTCCCCTATATAAAGGATGCAAGAAGCAGGGAGACATGATAAGTTTTAGCACCCTTGATCTTAGATGGGAGCACTGTAGGAACCCCAGAAACAATGCTCCCCTGCCTCCTGCTCTTCCCTAGCCCACCATCTGGTGAAGTTTTGCCTGYACCCCACCCTCTCAGACTTCTCTGGCTGCAAAGGTCCCTCGGCCCATCTTAAGGGACTTGGGGGAAGGGTCCTCCTATCAACACTGTTCCCCAGGCTCTGCTTGTCCTGACTAGTGCCCCTCCCTGATGCTCCATGGTCCCATGGCAGCAGACACAGGCCCTCACAAGCCTCTTGGCCCTGAGGCAGCCCCTGGCCAGGCCTTGTTTGGCCTCTCCCACCGATCCTGCCTGGCTTGTGCATTCCACTAACAGGTCAAATCGTCCGTGGGGAGTCCAGACTTCCCTTGGGACCAGTGGGAAGGAGAAGAAGTAATTACAAGAAGTGCAAGTGGGGAACGAAGAGGAAGACAAATGAAGAGCACCAGCGTGGAAGGTTCTAGCAGTCCCCTGAGAAGGTGCTGGCCCAGGCTGGACCAAGCAAGCACATGCCCTCAAATGATCTATCTCTTCTCCCCAGAGCACATTTTCCCAGCTGGTATCCTGTTCCCTAACCGTGCCCTTGTGCAGAGATGAAACTCCCTTCCCCCTATCCTCACAGATCAGATCCCAGGCCCATTTGTCACAGCCCATGTCCAGGGACATCTAGGCTCCTCCCGGGGTCCCAAGATGGGCCTCATCAGCAGAAAGCGGTGAGCATCAGGCCCATTTACACACCTGTTCAGGGCATAGATGCTTTCTATGTTCCCAAAGAGGGCACTGACTTGTTCTGGTGTCAGCAGCCCAGGCGTGTCGATGATCTTCAAGAGGTAGTCCTGCATGGAGAGAGGGGATCAGAACCCGGCCCCTCCTGGCTCACCCTGTTCTCCCTACCCACTCCAACCTGCCCACCCTCAATTCTGTACTGCATTTTATAGCTATGACACAATTTCACAGACAGCACTCACTGTACTGGGTTAGACAGTGTCCACCCAAAACTTCATGCCCACTTGGCACCTCAGAATACAATGTTATTTGGAAACAGGGTCTTTGCAGGTGTCACTGGTTAAGGCTCTGAAGATGATAGAATATTTAGAATGAACTCTAAATCCAATGACTGGTATCCTTATAAGAAGAAAGGACCCAGACACAAAGAAGGTGATGGGAAGAGAGTAGAATGATACAGCTACAGACTAAAGGACCCAGCGAGTGCCAGCAACCTCCAGAAGCTAGAGGAGAGAATGGAACACATCCACCTGGAGGCTCCCGAGAACCAACCTGGCTTAACACCTTGATTTTGGACTTTTCAACTGACAAAGAATTAATTTCTGTTGTTTTAAGCCACGGGATTTGTGGTGATCTGTTACAGAACCTTATCAACCTGATACACCTCTCTCCCTAGCAGGGCAGAAGGACCCCCAACACCACATCACCATTTCCTGCGTGCTGTGCAGTCTCAAACCCTACACAAGCCCGGCCAGTTAGGCATGGCCTTGCTTTGCAGGTGAGGAACCTGAGGCTCAGGAAGTTACACAGAGACTAAGACATCACAGGCAGAGGACAGCAGAGTAGGGATCTAGATGTGACTACCAGGGTTCAGTCCCTATGAAGCACCATGGTCTTCCAAGTGGGGCTGGAGTCTCTCCCTCCCTATCAATGGTGCCTCCTCCATGGACACATGCAGACGTTCTACTGCCCAAACTACTGATGTGGCTCAATGTCATAAGGAAACCCAAGAAGTGATAGGGTATGGCTCTGAGACCTCCCCACCACTCCCTGGGAAGAATGTCCTGAGACAAATGCGCAAGGGAGACCTTTCCTTCCTTGGGTATAAACAGGTTCCTATGAGAGCTGAGCCACTGGAGGACCGTGTCCCCAGCCCTGTGAGGAAATTAATGGACCCCTCCTAGCATCGGCACTCACCTCCACGATGCTGCGCAGGTCCTGCACATACATACGCTCTGTTTCCACAATCTCTCTCACCACTCGGCCCAGGTAGCTGAGCTTGTGGTGCGCAGGCCCTGCTGCCGCCCGGCTATTGAATGGGGAGAGGGGTCCCTTCATGTTCAGCCAGCTGCTGGAGTTGTTGTTGCTGTTGGGGGCATGCCGACCACGTGGGGAGCCTGCCCCATTCTGGGCTGAGGCCTCAGAGCCAAGGGGCTCCTCCATGGCACTGTGGCTGTCACGGGAGGAGCCAGATGAAGAGGTGGTGGACGTCAGGCTTGCTGGCCGCTCCTGGCTGCCATCTTGGCAAAGGGCGGTGGAGACGGGCATCCTGGCATTGCTGCCTGCAGGGTGCACTTCGGGGAGATTCTGGAGCAATAAAGAGATAGAAGAAGGATCAACCTCCGAGTCTCCACAGAATCAGAAAGCGGAAGGAAGGTTGCCAGGGAGAGGGGAAGTTATTGATGGTGAGTACAGAGTTCAGTTTCATAAGATGATGACAGTTCCCCGGATGGGCAGCAGTGACAGCTGCATAGAAACATGAAAGTACTTAATGTCTCCAAATTGTACACTTAAAAATAGTTAAGATGGTAAGTTTTACGTTAAGTGTATTTTACCACAATTTAAGAAACAAGACAAAACTGAAGGCCAATGAGGACCATTCTCTCCAGAGTACACGAGCACTGGCAAGGATGCCCAAGTGACATTTCTTCCCAATTCCAACCACTCCATCTCCATCCTTCCCAGAGGAGAACAGGTGGCTTACTCCAGGGAACAATAAAAGGCCTAGAAATTTGAGGCCCCAGGAAAGCAGAGAGGACACTGTGCCAGCATAGTGGTCCAGGGCACCTTCTGGGGAACTCAAAAGTCCAGCCTTGCCACTTGGGCAAAGTGCTTATTCTCTCACAGTCTCAATCTGCTCCTCACCTGTAAGTGAGGATGGATATAGCCTACCCCAGGGGCTGTGTCCTCCAAGATGAAGTGACCCACTGTCTATAGCTTTCAGCATAGTGTGTGGCACAGAGCAAATGCTTCATAAGCCATCCATATGGTGATGACAATGGTTATTGTCAAACGCACATCCCTAGTGCCTGCCTGGCAGGGCCTGCACTGGGGTGAATGCACAGGGAGGAGCGATCTAGCTCTTACAAAGTTAAGACAGCATGTGGACCAGCAGGCAACATTCTCCCAGAACTGCAAAATCTCAGGCACCTGTGGCTTCATCACGTACCTGAAACTTTCTGGCTACTGATGGGGAAGACAGAAGAGATGGCGGCATGGCTGAACCAACTTCACCCCCTGCCCCACCCTGGCACTTGGTACAGGTAGGACCCTGACTCAGCCAGGCCAGGAAATTCCTCAGAGTTGAGCCACTGCTGAGTCTCTATAAGCTCCCGGCAGCACAGCAGGCAGGAAACTGCACCCAGGGGAGGCAAACACAGCCTCAGGTGGACTTTATTCCCCAGCAGATGGTGCAGCTCACAGGCAGGCCCACCCAGAGTGGGCAGGGAGCAGTGGCTAGAGCCTACTTCAGGTTGTGGCCTTTGAGAAAGACAAGACCCACCTCACAGGTCCAGAGCTCACTAATACCACTTTCCAGAATGTTCATTTGATGGCTATTTCCAAAGGGTAAAAAAAAAAAAAAAAAAGCTTGTGTGCATCCCTCTCACCTCTGCTAACCCAATTCTTCAAACTCTAGCCTGGGACTCTGAAGCTACTGACCCACAAACATAGCCAAGAGGCACAGGTTTGGGCTACAAGGAGAGAATCTAAGAAGTGTCATCACTCCAGTATCCTTGGCACTGGCCCCCTGATTTTCTATGCCTCTCCCCCTACTTGCAAGCCAGTACTCTGGACCCTGGCTCTTGCAAATATTGTGCTCTCTGCCTGGGCATTATTTCCTCCCCACCTACTCCATGCCATACCACCCTGCAACCTTCAGTCTCAGATTAGAAGCCACTTCCTCCAGGAACCTTCCCATATCACCCCCCAAAACCTGGGGGACCCCTGCTATGTACTCTTACAGCCTCCCAGGTTTCCTCTTCTGAGACCCTCTGCTCTGGACTGTACATTACTTAAGGACAGCAATCACAAGGGCTGATTTGGCAAATTTGAATAACAATGGAGTACAAACTGATGCTTTTACTAAACTAAAAGTCAGGCGGGCCAGACCTACTTACCATCCATCACTTAACTCAGCCCGGCCAGCCAGGACCTTCTGGAACACAGGACTCTGTCATGCTGGATCTCAGCAGGGGGTGGGAGAAGGTCACCTTTGAGGTACTCTACAAAATCCCCTCAAGTGGCAGATGAGGAGGCAGCAGCAGCCCTGGGACCAGCCTGGTGTTCCTCTCTGCTGTGCCACACAGGGAGGATTACATAACAGGACTGTGTGGGTGCATCTCAGAGGAGAGCCTAGGGAAGACGGTGCTGCTGCTTCCTCCTCCCTCTCCAAAGAGGCTTTGCAGTTAATCAGCTCTGCCTCTCTGGAGAACCAGCAGCAGGGCAACAGCAAAGGCAGCAGGAAGAGAAAGACCCAAGCCTCACCTCCCACTCTGGACCCCCAGCTCTGGGGCACTCTGATGTCCTTCAAAGCAGCTGTATAGTCAGGCACCGCCCCCCATCTGGAACAAGGGATTTATGGCCTAAGACCTTTCCCAGATCCCTGGGGTCAGTCACCTCCTGTGGGGAGGCTAAAAGGAAAAAGCCCAAATCCCAAATGGATTTTGCAGCCAGGCAGCTCACAGCCTTAAGGCAAAAGATTAATTACAGACCCACTCCAAACTGCACATACCAGGGAGATCTGTCACTATAGGGTACCTTCTGAGGGTTACTCCTTGGGGATCCCACTGGGTGAGGATGGCAACATAAGTACACCAGGAACCCAGAAACTAATTATTTTCTACTTTGAGAAGTTTTTAAAAAGTGGAATTCACACCTAAATTCTCCTAGGGCTAAAACAAACCAAAGAAGCCACCTACTGGCAGGTTCTCCGTGCCATAGGCAGGAAGTCACCCCTCAAACAAGGCTATGCAGCAGGCACTCTCAGGGTCCCCATAGATTCAGAGCTGAAGCCACAGAAGTAGTAAGTGGTAGATCTGGACTTGGAAAGCAGGCCCCAGAACTTATGCTCTACCAGCCCCTGCCTCCTTGATGGATTTCACACCAGTCAGGGCGACAAGCAAAGGGTTAGTGACAGCCCCTGGATGCATGGCTTTGCTTCAGAATAAGCTATGGAGGACATGGGAGACATGAGAGACTAGGGTCTATAACACTCCAAAGGACTGAGAAGGCTATTTCTGGACCTGCCTACCACGTGGCCTCTAGCATTTACTCTCCCATTAGAGCAACACAGTAATAATACAAATTCCAGGTCAAAGGAGCACAGGCCATGCAGAAGCAGAAATGAGAAGGGAAAGGTCCCTAGGATCAGATTAAAAATTTCTCAGATGACAACAGAAACCCTGCAGTGACTGGGAGACCCACCCATGATCACAAGGCTCTCTCTCCTTGGCAGAATTCACTGGAAAAGAACCTAGAGGCCAAGGAGAAATGGGCAGCAAGTACAGCAAGGCGGGTCCGTGCGTGGGCTGTGGAGAGGGCCACTGTGACACAGTAGACACACCCCAATCCATCGGAGCAGAGACAAGTACCACCCACATGCTCCCAGGACAGGGGCAGCCTTTCCTTCCTATGTGATCCAGTAAGCATCACCCACAAGGTAAGATCCTCTCCCCAACCTAGGATGAGAAATTGGTTCCTCCAACTCATCCTGGAAGACACCGTCTGCTGGGGAATGAGGGGATGAGGCAGACAGCAGCCAGACCCTCAAGCCCACGCCCACCCCATGCCACCATACCTGGTCTCCAAGTTCCCTAAGCTTCTCCTGCAGAGACCTCTTGCAACAGAGTCAATCCAGTCAGTATCAATCCATGAATTAACCTTCTGGAAAATCTACTTCTCATATCCTAAGCTGTGAATCCCTGTCAAGGTCCCCAAAGAACTTTCTTTATGATGAGCCCAAGAAACACAGGTATATATCTTTTTTAAGGATGCAGAAGCATGAGAGGGAGGGAGAATGATTTATTTCTCTTTCCTTCTTCTTCTTCTTTTTTTTTTTTTTTTTTTTGGCAGAACTGGGGATTGAAGCTAGGGCCTGACATGTCAGATAAGCACTCTACCACTGAATCATACACTCAGCCTTTTTTTTTTTTTAATACTTTTACTTATTTGGGTTTTTGTTTATTTATTTATTTATTTAAATGTGGTGCTAAGGATCGAACCAGTACCTCACACGGGCAGGCAAACGCTCTACCACTGAAACACAACCACAGCCCCACCCAGCCCTTTTTTAAAAATATTTTGAGACTGGGTCTCAGCTGGGCATGGTGGCACACACCTGTAATCCCAGCAACTCAGGAGGCTAAAGCAGAAGGATCATCTGCCTGGGCGATTTAGTAACACATGGTCTCAAAATTAAAAAAAAAAAAAAAAAAAAATTGAAGGGCTGGGGGTTGTAGCTCAGTGGTACAGCACCCATGGTTCAATCCCCAGTAACCCCCCCCCACCCCCCAAAACACCTTTTAATTTAAATATAAGGAAAATTACATCCTTCCTCTACCCCACACCTGCCCAAGTTACACAGCCTCACCTCCTGAGAATAGGCCCTACATCTCCTCAGGTATGGAGGCAGGCAGGTTACAGCAGGTCCCTTGGAATCCCAACAGGGTGGACTGGGGCCAAGTCTCACATCCTTCCCCTCCCAACCATGCCTCAGCACCATGCCCTCAATCTGACCCAACAGGGGGGAAAAAAGATACCCCCAGGAAAGTGCAATGCCTTCTGTGTTTTGTCCTCAGGCCTCTTGTAACTGAGCAGTGAGATCTTACTTCCCCACCACATTCCCTTTAGAAAGGAACATCCCACAGGGGTACCCACCTGCAGCCCTCAAGAATTCTATGCCTCTGGTTTTGGGGAATCCCCAGGAATCACCCCATTCCCTCAGACTTTGCTCCCAGGCAGCCAACGAGCTGAGAAGGCAGTGAACCCTTTGGTGGGCAGGTAGGCTGGAGACTTCCCAGAAAACATTCTGGTTAAGAGAGGCTGACGTCATCCTTTCACCTACTGCCCTTCCTTCACCCCACACCCAAGAACGGAAACGCCATGGCACCACACCTGTGTGGTGTGGTGGGCAGGAAAGGAGTAAGGGGGTTCCCCCAACAGTAGCTGCTCCAAAGTCCACCTTCCTCAGCCAGAAGGTGCAGCCTGCTGCCATCACCTCTTGGCTGTAAACATCTAGATGTCCTAAAGGTCTCAGAACTAGAGTGGCCAAAGGGCTTTTGACCTTCCCCAGAACAATCCCCCAAGTCCATCTTGAGAATCTCCTCAGAAAGGGTGCCGAAAGGAAGCCACAGAGAGCAACCACAACTGCTCTGACACCAGGGTGGGGAGCAGTGTAACTTCCACAGAGATCTCAACTGAGACCCTAAAACCAGGAGGCTGTGCTCTCCCGGCTCTGCACACCTCCGGCCACCCCACTCCCACAGCCCAGCTCCTGCCCATCAGTTCCTACTGCTCCTGACCCATGTCCTAGAGCCTCTCCAGGGGAGGGGACGACCCCAAGGGGGCTTGGCCACCTGAGAAAACTCCCTGGGGAGTGACTCTTGTGTTTACTGTATGCAACATGCTCTGTAGAGGCTGTGGCAACTGTGTGATCAGGGTTGCTGGACCATTCAAACCCAGCCCAGCTGGCTCAAATTCATTTTCCCTCAGGAATTTGTTTTCCCAGCGCCTAAGAGCAGCAGGGGTCCATGCTGTCTGAGACCCGGAGCAGGACCACAGCTGCCAGGAAGGAAAAGAATTGTGGTTGCTCTGCCAATGGAGCCCTCCCACCTGAATTCCAGGAGGAAGTCTGGGCCTACAGCCTGAAGTCCAGAAAACTCCCTCAGCCTGGCCTTGGAAAGGAAGGAGAGCCCTGGGGTTCACCCACACCCCAATGTTCTCACCTCCCACAACCTCAACATTTGCTTGTGAATGCAGCATTTCTCAGAATGCAACAGCAGACCCTCTCCATCTATAAATGTAACCAAATCACTTCTTTTAGAAAGGCATCCTCAGTCATTTCCAACATACTCTACTACAGTAGGGTGAACAATGCCCCTGCCATGGAAAACCATGTCCACAGATATCCTCAGAATCTATGTCACCTTGTGTGGCAAAATGGAATTTGCAAATATGATCAAATTAAGGATCTTGGCCAGGGGCAGTGGCACACGCCTGTAATCCCAGTGGCTGGGGTGGGGGTGGGGGCTGAGGCAGGAGGATCATGAGTTCAAAGCCAGCCTCAGCAAAAGCAAGGCACTAAGCAATTCAGTGAGACTCTGTCCATAAATAAAATACAAAATAGGGCTGGGGATGTGGCTCAGTGGTCAGTCAAGTAACCGAGTTCAATCCCTGGTACCAAAAAAAAAAAAAAAAAAAAAATTAAGGATCTCTTTTTTTTTAAATATACTTTTTAGTTGTAGTTGGACACAATACTTTATTTTATTTATTTTATTTATTTTTATGTGATGCTAAGGGCCTCCCATGTGCTAGGCAAGTGCTCTACCACTGAGCCACACCCCAGCCCAAATTAAAGATCTTAAGGTGGGAAGATCATCCTGGATTATCTGGGTGAGCCCACTGTAATCATAAAAGGAACCCCACAGGAGTCAGAGTAAGATAGATGTTTTTATGACGTCAAACAGAGGAGCAGAGAGAAAGAGGTGGAAGATGCTATGCTGCTGCCTTTGAAGATGGAGAAGTGGCCATAAGCAAAAGAAGCTGGAAAGAGCAAAGAAACAAATTCCACCCTGGAACCCTTAGGAAGAACGCAGCTCTGTGGACTTAGCTTAACTCCTGACCTCCAGAACTTTGAGATAGCAAATGTGTGTTGTATTAAGCCACTAAGTTTGTGGCATTTGTTACAGCAGCAGTAGGAAACTAATACGCACAACATGTCTTTGAATTCTAATAACCTGGATATCAATTAAAGCACTGGTCCACGGAGTTCATATATGCAAGCATTTCTTTTGAATTAGTGAACCCCAGCAGTCTGGATCTTCACTACCAGACAGCAAGACACCACTAGGTGCCCGATAGATGCCTGCTGGGAGGACTGCAGGACCACACCTAGAACACTTCACCACTCCTACAGTGGATAAAGGTAAATAGT